AACACTCCAAACATCTTAAATCTCATAATTCTAAGGCTACCATCTTAAACCTAAGGTTCCCCCAATACATCAACATATCAACCAACACATATCATCACATAATTTATTTACGAAAATTAATTAAATAAATCGGGGCGTTAGATGCATGGGGAGCATCCCCAATACAGTTATTTTGTTATTTGTCTTATCTCTTTAGTTTATTATCAATTATTGAGTCTCCCTCATAATTGCACATCTTTTGAATCAAGGTTGAATCGATTTGTTATTAGTTTTTAGCATGCATAAATCAGTGGTTATATTAGAACTTGGTTAAGATGTTTTTAGTTAATTGTATGAGTAAGTGGAATAAAAACTTTGTGTTTTTTATTCTAGTTAGGTGCAAAGAAAAATATCAAATTACTTTTTTTATGAAGAAAAATATCAAATTACTTTTAAAACCATGAAAATTTGAGATTTTGTGTGTTTGAATCAAATCAATCAGATCAAGCACACATTCTGATTCAAATCAAATTGAAACAGAGGCAAATCAAGGAGTTTTAAACATTTTGATTTGAATCAGAGTTTACACTTTATTTGAATCAAGCTCCTTCTGGTCACCCCTTCTTGATTTGATTCGAAACAGACTTTACATCTAATTCGAACCAGACCATTTTTCAACATTTTCCATTAGGGTTTGTTACAGTAGATTCAAATCAGAATTTGCACTTGATTTGAATCATGGGGCCTTTGATTCAATCAAGCATGAAATGGGTCAAAAATATGATATCTTTTTATTCCACTTCACTTGCTCATTTGACCCAAATCATACATTATTCTTGATTTGAATCTAACCAACTTTTATCACTCATTTTTATGCTTAATCTCAAGCACAGATAAAACTTTTTAGACAACATTTTTCATAAATGAATCTCATGATCATTGTGTGATTTTATGTGAAATCACTTCCTCTCACTTTTGAAAAGTTCAAAACCATATCATTCAAATTTCTTTTTTTTTTCAATCTTTATTTTGATTTCAGATCTTGATAATGAGAGATTTGTAATTTATTGAGGGAGACGATGACTTAGAACTAATCGTTATTGAAGATTGGGTAAAAAATTTCAAGTTCTTGCAAGATTGAGGAGTTGTCATTAGTGCTGACAAATTCTAGTGAGAAGAAGGAGGTTCTTCTCTCCATATTACCTTTGTAGTGACTGTGTGGGAGGCTCCGGATAAGGCGGGATTCTTCTCAAATCTTCGGACAATTCATCGCTCAAGGATTTGGTATGATCAAGGGATTGATTATTACACACGAAGACTTGGAGCAGATTGAGGATATTGCAAGATTTAGAAGCGTTAATCGAGTAAATATTATGCAGAAGAGTTTGAAATTAAGTTGTATACAAGTCAAGATCCAGATAGAAGAGTTATTTTCTTTAAGATTATTGTGGATTAGTCATTGTATGAACTCTTGCAATACTTGTCAAAATAAAAAGAAGCTATGCAGGTTCCAATGGGAAACCAATGAAGAGTGCACGTAGACAAAACAAGGACAAACGCCGAAGCACTATAAATCCAAGTGTCTTCTCTCTCTCTCTCTCTCTCTCTCTCTCTCTCTCTCTCTCTCTCTCTCTCTCTCTCTCTCTCTCTCTCTCTCTCTCTCTCTCTCTCTCTCTCTCCTCTCCTCTCTCTCTCTCTCTCTCTCTCTCTCTCTCTCTCTCTCTCTCTCTCTCTCTCTCTCTCTCTCTCTCTCTCTCTCTCTCTCTCTCTCTCTCTCTCTCTCTCTCTCTCTTACTCCCACATTTAAATTTCGTAGGATATTGCATGCTTAGGTTTTTAATTCTTAGAGTTGTTTATCATTTATTCAATTGGTAGAAATTTATTGCTTAAGATTAGGTTTTGTTAGAATTGGTACCTAATCGATCTTTGGTGGTGATTAAAATACGAGAAACTTGTTGATTTTAGAATTTGAAAAATTGAATCGTTGTATAAACACAATTCGTGAAGTATATAACTGAATCAATCGAATACCTTATGTGCCATCATTAGATCATTTGTGATATTTGTGAAGTGATTAAGTGCTTACGTGAAACTATTTCTATATAAATATAATTCTTATATTTTCTCTCTAATCTCCCGTGTGCAAACTCTTAAAACCTCTAACAATCCATTTTTAGAAATTCGGTTGAATTTTGTTTTAAGTATACTCACCCTCTCCCTTCTAGACTGTTTTCTTACTCCATATTCTCACCAACAATTTTTTCTTTTATTAAAATCATAATCCCATGATTTGAATGAAATAAATTTGTCTTTCCTTCATACTTTTGTGCCTAACATCTAGCACTTATTTAATTCTCTTTTGTGCATTTGTCTAAAAAAAGGTTAGTCAATTATACAATTAGCCACAGGTTAACCACTCAATAAGCTAGAATGTTTGTAGTTGGTTAATCTTGTTGATTGGCATTGGAAAATTCATCAAGAAAGAGAAGTCTCACAACATGATTATCCTAGAGTGAGGCCTGTTAAGATCCATACCTATACTTTCACAAACCTTGAAAAACTATGAGAGTTTCTTCATTCAATGACACATTATATCTTTGATTCAACCTTGTGAAAAATTTCCTAATTTTGATATTGTGAGAGTTTTTAGTTGTGTTGTGCGAGATTCTTTAGATATCCTTCATCAACTTCATCCTTGTAACAAGAAACCCTTGTTTTGGTGCTCAACTTTAAAGATTGAGTATGAGAGGTAGATTCAAGGTAAATTTGGAAAACTAGTTTTTTTGCGAAGCTTTTGTCGTGCTTATCAGGAAAAAGAATTTTTTTTCTATGGTATATGGCTTTGTTTATCCAGTAAGAAAAGAGTTTCTCTGTACTCCATGGAAGACTTCGGTTTGAACAATCGCTCATACAAGAAATTGATAGAGCCGAGTAAAGGTTGTTGGGGAACTGAGGCTTCAAGCAAGATAATTGTGTCTATTAAGATCGTTGGATCAAGATCATTGAAGATCTTGAACATTAGTAGTTAAGCAATTTACTTCACAAGAAAGGAATATCATTTTAGATTTGTGTTGGTTGATGCATCGGGCTTGTAGTTTTCAGATTGGTGATAATTCTTTGTACCAAAATATTTGTATCATTATCTTTAAAATAGTGGAAGACATTATAATTTTCAACGGTAAAACAATTGAAGAGTGGAGTAGGCATAACGAAGACGAATTGATAATCCACTATACATCTGGTGTATGTTTTTGTTTCCCTATCTCTTATAATTTTCTATATTATATCGTATGCTTTTAAACTTGCGTATCTTTAAAATGTAATCCAAATTTACATCTTGTTAATAGTGTTTTATCATATAAGTTTAGATTTGTAATGTATCTAGTTCATTTATTATTTTATACGTTGATTAAGATTGTAATAACTCTAAACTTAGATAAATCAGTCATTGTTATTTCTCAATTTTGTCACTTAAAATTGTAATATGATCAATATTGAGTTTCTTGTTAGGACAATTTATTTTATCTCGATTAATTTTAATTTTGATTGAATCATAAATGATAGAAAGACGATGAAACATATAATTCTTTAATTCATCCGCTATATTTTGCTTTTGTTTGTCCCATTGACTTCTGATGATTGAACTCTGAATTTATACAAGAAATTTTTTTTGAAAATGATTTAAGAGGATTGATTTATTCAACTCCCCCCTTTAGAGTACTGTTTAATCCTCCTATTCTCACCTAATAAGTTGATCTTCTAAAAAAGTAAAACACATATTGGTGTTAAATGAATTTACAAGGTCAAATAATAAGTCAGTGGTGCTCTTGAAACATGCAAGCATAAGTTAATTACTAGATTTTGGGCACACGTTAAAATATGTTGATACATTTTCATTAGTTGCTAAAATTAATATAGTTACGTTAGAGTTTTATTAAAATTAGCTCCAATCAAAAGTGGGCATATCATGAAACATCATTTGAATGCCAATGAGGTTTCACAAGTAACATGGTTCGAGAAAGGTTTGTAAGTTTCACAAGTCTTTATATAATTTAAAACATGGCAATAAGCAATGGTACTCAGAGCTATCAATTGTCTTAATTGTCTTAGTCACATGTTATTGTTGTTCTCCTTAGATCATCACTCTTCTATTGAAAATCTAAGTAGCAAAATAGAGTCTTAAGATTCTCTATCAAAGTTGAATACATGGTGTTAGTATAATGAGTTCATTTTGTGTTTATTCTACTGGTTTTTTGAGTTGTATGTTTAATTGAGTAGATTGCTTTTGTACATTATAGTTGTAACATGTAAGCTCTATGGTTCATTGTAACCATTAAAGAGATTGCAAATTCAAAAGTGGTTATCTAACATATCATAAGTATTCAATATATAATATACATTTCAATATGAATGCATGTATTCAAGTAGTGATTACAAGTACAATTAATTCAATATATTATGTATGCATATAGTCTACTCCAACTATCTAACCTAATAATAATAATAATGCTCCATGGATCCTTTTATCATATTTTTTCTTAGCTAACAATTATTTTCCGCAAACTCAACAATGAATAGGCATTTTTGAAAAAATATACTTAGACCTCGCATAAAACAAATGTAAAAAATACTCACACTACATGGTTTATGGCCATCTAACATACATCAAAGCTCTCTCTTTTACGTGCTCACCACATCTGCATCCATAGCCATGTGAGCACAAAAACGAAAGAGACTTGACGTTGCTAGATGGCCATAGCCATGTAGTGCAAAATACTTTTGCTATCGGTTTTGTACATGGTCTAACTCCTTTAGAAGCTTGGAGACCATTGATGAGTCTGCGTAGAATAGTTGTTGACTAAGCAGTAGGAAGCATTACTACGGTATACATACAACTGGCGAAAATCAGGTATCATCTGCGCCAAGATAAATAGAATCCCAATGAGCGGTAAAGCTCTGAATTCGAATCCATGACATCTAACATAACTAACCCAGTAGAAAACAAAAAATAAAAATTTACATTATCTGACTTCTAATTTATTTTCTTCATATATGTTTATCATTTCTGAGCTCACAAGCTGTGCCGCCTTGGCTATACCCAAGTCATTTGACAACTTCTTGCATAACTACAACATGAATCAAGAGAGAAAAAACTATACATATCAGCCTTTGATTTTCTTAGAAACTTAGCGATGAAAGAGAAAGAAAGTCGATATACATACTTGTCTATATACAGTTGCATCTCCATAAGACTTCCGTAGTTCGACTACATACAATGATGGACCTATTTCCAAAACCTGTTAAAAATCGAAATCCAGATAGTTTCATAATGTTAGCAATCTATAGCAAAACTCGTGAACATAGAAATTTTAACCACTCTCGACATGCATTTTATTTACCTCTGCTGCAACTGAGAGGCTTCCTAGACTTTTAAGCGCTTTATTCTCGTGTATCACTTTCAACTGAAATTTCAAGTTTTTACAACAATGTTTAGCCAAACCAATTTTTCGATTATGATTAACGAATATAAATACCAATACTAAGTTACTTACTTTTCCATTTTTTTTCTGAACACTAAAACCCATTTCTATGACAATGTCCTCAATCTTCTCCGTCAAATCTTTCGGTGAATGGTTTGATGTAAAACGTATCTTTCTCTCCGACACATCCTGGAATTCAAAGTACATTGTTCGATTAATTGATCTAACTTTGCATTAAGCATGTCTTGAAAGTGACAGTAAAGTTCAATTTTCTGATACTCACCTCTTTCTCAAAAAAGCCAGAGAGGTCTAAACACGAAGACATCCCTATCAACTGAAATGCATTGATAAGCTTCGGCGATTTTGGACTAGTCAGGTCTGCTTCACTGGGCTGTAACAATCATAAGCAGTTTTTTTTCAGATCACGTCGTGTAACAGTGCTAAGGGGTTGCCATTTAACAACATTAGTGAAAGATAGCTTAAAGTGCAAGAAAGTATACCACTTCTTGGATGGAAAAGGCTTCATCACCAATGTATACATCATCTTCCTCGTCGTCTCGGTTAGCAGCATTATAACCCGGTTTAAACCATTCATCTTCTTTGATCATAGACATTGTTATTCTGGTTTCAGGATTGGGATCAAGAATTCTCTTTATGATGTTTTGAGCACCAGGTGACAACCATATCGGTATTTGAACATCTCCTTTGAAAATCTATAATCGTCGAGGTAAAAGGCATGTGAGTTGATATTTAGCCTAAACCTTTTCCAAACTATTTACAGCATAGAAAGAAGAACGAATATTCACCTTTTGATAGAGAACTGCGAGATTTCTGTCGTCGAAAGGAAGGTATCCGGTTAGAATTACATATAAGATAACACCGCATGACCAAATATCCGATTTCGCACCGTCGTAGCCTTTATTGGCAAGAATCTCAGGAGCAACATAATTTGGACTTCCACAAGTTGTATGTAGCAACCCATCTGCCTGAAATTTTAACACATTGTATCAGTTTCCGAATTGATATAATTTTCCTTTAGGATCTTATTATAACTAACATCTCAATTAAGTGCTTATAGCATATTATTTATCATATAAGTGCTTATAGAAATAAGCTATTCCTAATTGTCTTACAAGTGCTTAAACCTGTAGATAAACTCGAATAAGTGAATCCAGACAGAATTACAAGTGCTTACCCTACAATGTTGTGGCAGAGCACTGAGGTTAAAATCAGTTATCTTTATGTTCCCTTTGGCATCCACAAGTACATTTTCTAACTGCATTAAACACAAATTTGGTGAGAAAACTGCATAAAGTGTAACCCTAAGAAATTGGTAAAGTGGAGCATATATATAGTTTCAAGGATTTTGTAAGAACCTTAAGATCTCTATGGAAGACACCTTTATTGTGGCAGCAGCTCACACCATCAATCAATTGTTGGAACATCTTCCTACCATGAGCTTCTGTTAGTTTACCTTTTGATGCCTGCGAAGACAATTAGGTAGCTCATTCATTTCATATCTATTAAGATCACACATATGATGCACAGACACGAACATCAGACACATAAATATTGATAATAATTTAAAAATATAATAATGATTGAATATAACTACGTGCATCAGAGACATATCAACGACAGACACGCTTGAATACTATATGGATAGTAAAATCACATTTTGCTTACAATTTTGTCAAATAACTCTCCACCATTCACATACTCAAGTACCATATAGATTTTGGTTTTGCTAGCCAAGACCTGTATAATCATCATAAATATAATATAATTAATTATAATTAAAATAACAAAGCTTAAAAGGTAAGTTGCATTTGCATTTGCATTGATTACTTCTTTTCCATTTTTCCATTAAAAAAATGTAACTTATATTACAAAGTAACTAGTTGCACATAATTGATATTTCTATCCTAAGCTACATATGCAATGTATATACAGGATAAGAACAAAAATTTACTATATATATATATATTTTTTTTCCTTTTGTGGACCCTCCAATGATTAAAATAGAAACTTATTGATACACTAGTTAATGGAGAACCACTAAATAATTTATTATTATGCTATAATACTGACAAATTATAGGTGGAAACTTATTCAAATATGAAAACAATTTATAAATATGAACTAAAATGTTTTTCTTTGGCATGCTTCAAAAAAATTAAAAGTTTATTTTTGTGTAAATTTGTATTAAATAAAGTAAATAATGTAACATAGCTGCCACATGATATTCATGTGGGTGGAACCCACACCAAAACCAAACAAAAAATAATGAAAACTTGGAGTGGGACTTGATTGTTTCTTATTTAAATTGGAGAAAAATAATTAAGTTATATCAAATAGGATAATTGAGAGGAAAATGACATCTCCTATGATATCAACCATACACTAATATGACATTAAATTTTTATATTAGGTATATTTCATTTTTTACAAAATCAGCTATGATTAAACCTATTTTACAAGACATGTGAGTTGTTCTATCTTGAAAAGAACCAAATGAATAAAACAAGAATTGTAAGCATAAAGTTTAAATGTGTATTCCAAGATTCGAAAATTATTGATTCCTAACGTGTTTTGGTTGGTTTAACTTTCTTCCAAAATTTAGCATCACCACAAGTTCTTACAATATTATTAATATGGACCGGATTAGCGACACTCAAATCATCTCACACAGCATTCGCAATTGTATCTGATCGTCTCATCTTGATTAAAGTTTTGATTTAACATTGCTAATTTTGAAAATTTTAAATTCATTTTTTCAAAATCTTGCAATCAAGATTGAATAATTGATTAATATTTGTCAACAACATTAAAGCAGCAAAAATTCGATTCCTTTTCAAAAGGCCACATTATTAAGGGTCCACAAATTAACTTCAATCAACAAAAAAGTCTTGGTGGTTACAACAAAATTGAAGGAGCAAGTTAATTGTGTTGATGGAAGATTGTAACCTCACTCTTGAGTTGTAACCTAACTTGTTTGTCAAATAAATTCTAGAATTCAAGACAAAAAGACAAACCATGTGTCATGATATATACTTAGGAGGTAAATGGGTCCCATAAAACGTCCATCATGCATTATAAACATAGAAGAAACAATAATTGTTTGAAAGGTGGATCTACATTATGGGAATTTTAGTTGGATCTTGGTTTTTGTAGGGTCAAATTTCGTAATTATATATAATAATCATTAAAAATTCACACCCAACCACGAGGTTTAGAGTTAAAATATTATAATATCATAATTATGAAGTTTGGAGTTCGAATTTAAATGAAACCTAACATATTCAAAGTTCGTCTGATTCAAATTTTTTTTACGATTGAAACACAAAAGATCAAAATAAAAAAAACTTTTACTTTATCTAAAATTTATAGTTTTTTTTTACTCTGTCACTTAGGTCTCATCTTTCTATATCAAGTTTTGTTAGTTGATAAAATAATTTAATTATTAATATAATAATATTTAATTTTTTATTTTCTAATTAATCCATTCAGAAACTGAAAAAATAATTTGGAAACAAAGAACTATTAATATATCAAGTTTTTAATTAATTTAAATATATCAATTCAATACCAAAAAAACTGAACCCAGAAACATAGAAACCAAGAACAGTTTTTATTTTTTAATTAATCCATTCAAAAACTGAAAAATTAGTAACCTTTATCTTAGTTAAATCTTAATCAACTTGATCTGTAACACAGATTATAGATAATTATGGATAAGATAAACTGAATCATAATCACAAGACATTACCTCGTATAACCGAACAACGTTAGGATGTTTCAAAAGCTTCAACGTTGAAATCTCTCTTTTTATCTGAGAATTCCAACCGCCACAAAAAAAAAACATAATAATCAATTTTTCCAACAAACAAAAGTTTAACATTAACAAAATCGAAAGAAAAAAAAAACATACCTGGTCAGTGTTGTTGAGATCGACAATCTTATTCTTCTCGAGAATCTTAACAGCATAAAACCGTTCCGAATCAGTGTTTCTTGCTAACTTAACTTTTCCGAAGTTTCCTTCACCAAGTGTTTTTCCCAATTCGTATTTCCCTAATCGCATTCCTTTGTGTTCTTTCTTTCTCTCTTGGTTTATTATCACCATTCCCAAACACAACAAACCTTTGATCTCTCTCTTCTCTCTCTTCTCTCTCTCTCTTGAATGATTATTTATTTATATTACAATAATGGTGAGTTATTAAGAGAGTAATAACTAGAAGCAAAACGGGTTGAGAAGAGCCAAGGAAAAGGATTAGGCTATAATTAAGGATTTAAAAACACGTTGAAAAATATTAAATTATCATAAATGGATAGATTATAGGATTATGATTTATGATGAATGATTCAAAGAAAGAAACCAAACAAACACCACCTCTTCTATTTGTTTTCTTGCACCTTATGTTTTGTTTTGTTTGTATATGCTCTATGTTGCTTTGAACTAATTGGCTATTTATACACTTCAAGAGCCATTTATGACCAAATAAATGTATAACTGTATAATTTATTTATTTATTTTTATAATTTTAAAGAAAAAAACTGTTTTTTTTCCATAAGAATAACGTTTTCAATAGACGAAATAAAATAAAATAAAATAAACTTGAGGGTTAGATAAACTAAAATAATAATATTATTTCCTTTATTATGAAGAAATAGTGTTGAATGAAAGTATTCAATTAATGATGGTGTACAAAAATTATAATATATAGTCAAATATGTGGTGGTTATTTTATAGTGTATTAGCCCCTCACGCGTTGGTATGGTAATGGATAAATGTCTCTCATTTTTTAATCTGGATAATAGAATGTTGATTGATTGGAAAACAACGACTTTGAAAAAAAATTGGAAGGTGGATCTTTAAGGACAGGAGTAGGATTTTTTTCTGATAATGTGGTATTCAATTTTCAAGTGTTTTATTTTTTCATGGAAAATTCACTTTTCAACAATGTGGATAACACTTCAATTGTTCCAATAGAGTAGATAATTTGATGTAATTACTACGAGAAATAATAAGTAATTAAGTGTTTTATTTTTTCACGGAGAATTCACTTTCCAACAATGTGGATAACACTTCAATTATCGCAATAGAGTATAGATAATTTTATGCAATTACTATGAGAAATAATAAGTAATTAAGTGTTGTGAAGTAAGAGATGATTGTATATATATGAGGATTTTCATTACGCATATATGACCGTAATTATAAACCTGTTAGATTTGTTCATAAATCTTATAATTTTTATAATATAGAAATCAAGAACATAACTCTAAATAAAATTCTTAAACTCATATCTAAATACAATTATGAGAATGAAAACGGAAACATACTTGAATTTGCCATTGAGAATCAATGAAGGTTTGTGGGTATGTGATCTTCTAATTTGTAGAGTTCGTTCCTTATGGCTCATTCATTCTCCTCTATTAGTGATATACATTAGCTTATGCATCTGTCCAGCTGTATTGTTCTGATTGGCTTACTGTTAGGCTTTTGCTATTGGTTGAGTTTGTTATAGAGGTAGTTATATATTGGTCCACTTGTAAAACTGATAAATAGCTTATCCTCTACTGTAACAATTAAGAAAGCAAATTCTGAATTTTATAGAAACTGCACAGAGTGCAAATTGTTGAATGCAGAGCATTCTTCATCTTCTACATGGTATCATCGTGATCGATCCATCCACATTCCGCTCATCTCTCTTCTCCTACCGGTATCTCTGCAGTATCTTTGTTCTTTGTTCTTCATTCTCATCCCTGCATCATGGCCACTGAAAATCAAGAAATACAGTCTTCATTCACCCCCTTCTCCACTGGCAACAATGGATTTGGACCTCGCCTCTCCATCAAGCTTGAAGAGAACAATTTTCTCCTTTGGAATCAACAGGTTGGAGGAATCATTCTTTCTCACAAACTTCACAAATTCATCGTGAATCCACAGATTCCCCCAATCTTTGATTCAGAAGAAAATCGCATAGCCAACAAAGTTTCAGCTGTGTATGAATCTTGGATTGTACAAGATCAAGCATTATTCTCATGGCTGCTCTCAACGATTTCCGAATCTGTTCTTCCAAGAGTCCTCTCCTGTAAACACTCATATCAAATTTGGGATCAAATCCACAAACATTTCAATGCAGTCATGAAAGCTAGGGTTCACCAGCTGCGTTCTGAATTGAAAACCACCAAGAAAGGGACTAGGTCAATCTCTGAGTATGTGCTGAGAATTAGAGTTATCGTTGATGCACTGCTAGCTATTGGTGATCCCATTTCAGAGAGAGATCAAATTGATTCCATTTTACAGGGGCTTTCGGAGGAGTACAATCCATTTGTCATGATGACCTATGGCAAAGGTGAGCTATCCTCCATTTATGATGTGGAAGCTCTCCTCTATGTCCAAGAAGCACAACTTGACAAGTATCGTCAAGAACTTGCTCTTACCACGGCCACTGCCAATCTTACCTATACTGAAGATCAGACAAGTTCCAAGACCACCAGAGGTGGCTTTCAGCAGTCAAGGGGACGTGGCTCTGGCTCCAGAGGTCGTGGCCGCACCAGGGCACACAATGGTTACACTCAAGGAAATCGCCCTACATGCCAACTCTGTGGAAAATATGGCCATGCTGTCATCAATTGCTGGCACAGGTATGATGAAAGTTTTGAACCTATGGCGCCTAAAGCTAATCAGCAGCCTACTCAGGCAAAAGATCAACAGAAGAATGAAGCCTCAAATTCTGCACAAGCTTCTGCATTCCTAGCACATCAAGAAGATTTCAGCCTTCCAACAAATCTTGAATCACAGGCTTGGTTCGCGGATTCAGGTGCATCCCATCATATCACCTCTAGAAACTATCACAGTAAACACACTAAATCTTATTCTGGCAATAATGAAGTCATTATAGGAAATGGTAAAGGTCTGAAAATTGAATCTGTAAGAATAGCTCATATTAAGCCTAACAATACTTCCAATTATTTGCTAAGTCTGAATGATATGCTTCATGTTCCTATCATAACTAGAAATCTTCTATCTGTTTCCAAATTTGCCAAAGACAACAAGGTCTTCTTTGAGTTTCACTCTAACAGTTGTTTTGTCAAATCTCAGGCATCTAAGGAAGTTCTCTTAGAAGGCTACCTTGATGCTGGAGGATTATACTACTTTCCCAATCTCACCTTGAAGACTTTTGTGTCACCAACAACAAATGCAGCTTGTATCTCACCTGATAAGGTTTCAAATACTTTAGATTCAATTTCAAATAAGTTTTCTCTATGGCATCATAGGCTAGGCCATGCTAACCCTGTAGCTGTTAAAACAGTTCTCAACATATGTAGTATTCAGTTGAGCAATAAAGATAATGTTGAATTCTGTAATTCATGTTGTATAGGCAAGTCTCATAGAATATTTGCTCCTCTAACTTCTACTGTATATACTGCTCCTTTTGAATTAATTCACACTGATTTGTGGGGACCATCACCAAACCCCTCTAGCCAAGGCTTTTCTTACTACATAGCATTTGTAGATGTGTACACTAAATATACCTGGGTCTATTTTCTCAAACATAAGTCAGATGCCCTCAACACTTTCAAACACTTTCTTGCCTTTGTCAAAACACAATTTCATACCACTATTAAGGCTCTACAATCTGACTTTGGTGGTGAGTACAGGCCTTTTACTAAACTTCTGAATGATCTTGGCATTGTTTATAGACTAACTTGCCCACATACTTCTGTTTACCATGGAAATTGGTAAACAACCGCTGATCTTCCAAAAGGTTACTTATTTGGTGACTCGCAGGATCGATCAGATTGATCCTAAGACATGGTTGATTTTCTGGGGTTTGATTAAATCTAATGATGATTAATGCTAGTAAAGTAAAGACACTTTATGTAAATTGCATGAAGAAAAGCTTGATAGAATAAATGAAAGCGTTAAATAAAAGGGGCTTCGACGGAGAAGAGTAAATGAAAGTCAATAAAGTGCTTGAATATAAAAGACTTTGATCAATTTAAATGGTGTTTCACACATACATTCTCAACAATTCTTTCGCTCACACTGGGTACTTGAATCTAGATGAGTGACTTGTATATAATGATGAACACACGCGAAAACTACGTGAACAACTAGTATTTATACTCAACCACATCTCAAGTAACCGTTGGGCAGTTACGTTGCTTCGAGATGACACCACTTGGCATGCTCACAGCATTCGACGCTCCTGATCTTGGCACGTTGCGTTTAGTAACTGCTGGGAACTGTTTTCACTCCAAACATTTGAATCTCAAACCGTTCCACCCTGGGCATCAGATATCTTTGTCGAGAAGTTCCTTCGACGTCGAAGGTAACAAGATTCCCACTTAAAAGAAACTTTCTAAGTACCTTGCCATTTCCTGATGGGCATTCGACAGGATCAGCTGGTCGAAACCTGGAAACTCTTTAAACTCACAATTAATGGTCTATATTGATAACAAACAAAGGTGTCGAATTTATGAGCCAACAAATTGCCCCCCAAGAATGCCTTATTTCGACGCTGAAAAGAAAAAGGCATTCTTTGAGATTCCACCTGACACCTGTCCTTCATTCTTAGCCACAGATCAGCTCCTGCGCTTTTCGTCTCCTACCAACCAACTGACAATCCCAAAAAGCCATCATTCCAACTGTTCCTAAGACGTCACTTCAGTAAGGCGTTTGGCATGCCCAATGTCTTTTCACAGATTGTCATCATGACAATTCCCCGAAATCGAGGACGCACGCTGCACCGTTTCTGTTCTGCAGAACGACTACATCAGCAAATGAGCGCCACGTGCCCCACTATGGTCTGAAACATTAAATGACCTCGAGTTTTATGATTTTCCAATCACTATAAATAGCGCTAAGTGCCCCTCGTGGGACTTTTCACGCTTTCTTCATCCAAGCCTTAATATTGAACAGGCATTTCTGCAAAAAACATTTCTGCAAAAAAACTTTGTTCTTCATCCATCTTCATCTCAACCCAAAAAAATGGCTTCAGGTTCTCGTTCTTCCAATGTTCTCAGCTCTAACACTCCCTCTAAAATTGCCCAACCGAAAATCTTTTCAACTGTTCCAACAGTTAACTCCAAAGGAATGCGAAGGGTTCCTGA